ATCATCCAACCAATGAAAGTACATTGGAATTATGAATTATGAAGTACGAAAACCAACACAAGTGATGCATTAGTGAATAGTAAAGCATGCCCATCGTATGAATGAGGGGGCTATAATTATTGAGATACCATCATTAATGTGTACGAACTGGAAACATCTTAAAAGCATGTGGAAACGTTTTCACAATAGTCTTTTGGTGCTGAAAAAAGAATACAAGAGCTCAAGTAAATAAAGCTCAGGAGGAATCAACTAACAGAATATCTTTGTTCTGAATAGTAGACAAAAAGATTGTCTCTGTGAGGCCAATTGCATGTTTATTTATTCTCCTTGGCAAGAGAAAAAAGAACATCTTGATAAACTATGTCCACCACAATCACTTAATGCAGTTGTCCGAGCTCTACATGAAGATGCTTGGACATGGTTTATGGGAAGAAATAGGAAAGATACAAAATAAAACGGATTTCTAATGTCTCGCAATAAACGTCCTTATTTGTAGACCAAAAGAAAATCCTTACATTCGTCTTATATAGCTGTTCAACCTTTTAATAAAACTCTCAAAAACTTGGTGGAGCTGAACTTCTGTAAAAAAACACACTTTGACAGATTATTCGAACTTCAAAGCATGTCTGTTTTGCCATATTCTTCGGAGGAAGTAACACAAAACAAGTCATGTAGCGTATAAGGTACATAATTCATTTTTTTCAAATAATAACAAACAGGTATTAAAATCAGAACTCAAATTAAGGCATCAAAAACTAGAAGTCACATAAGGGGGGCGGCTAACTATGGAGACAGATTGGCTATTAAATAGAAATTACTTTTATGGCAGACGGCAAAGGAGAACGCAATCCCACCACATACAAAAACACGAAGTTCCAACTTCCAAGTCGATGAACCCATGCCTAGAAACTAGAGTGAGATAATCTTTTACGCGGAAAATTCCCCCAAAAAAAAAAAATCTCATGAACAGCAATCACAAAGAAATTGTTCGAAGAAGTTAAGAATAGCATACCGCAGGAGAGGAACGACAAGAATTATAACTCGGCTGAGTGAGAATGCGATGTTGCAATTACAATTCACAAACGAATTGGTTATATATACAGCAACTCAGCAAGCAAATTCAAAACGCGATACGAAAGTCAGATTTTCTGAAAAATGAAGAACACGACAGGAAAGGATACGGCCACGTGGCGTTGTGAACTGAGGTGGGGAAGCTCGGCTCCAAGTGGGGTCCACGAGGGGAGAAAGTTTCCGCGGGCAACCTGCTTTTTTTTTTTTTTTTTAACCAGCCGTGTGCTTTCTACTAACTTGGAAATGGATTGTGAAACTATGAATTGATATTGTAAGCCATGACGCAAATGAGGAAGAGAAGGAACAGGAGGATTGTTGATATGGATTGGTCGGAGCAAGGACGATGAAATCAATCAACACCATAGAAACAAGAGTTCCATCGCCAGAAAAAATAAATAAATATTTTGAATCAGTTTTTTATTCACAGTCTTTTTCATTTCCAGCTAGACCTATGGAGTTTTCTAAAGAATATCCGAACCAAAAATAGTTCCATTTTTATCATTACTATGATATTTCATATATTCCTGTCCACGTCGATTGGATACCATAGAAAATCGATTAAACAATATTCGAAAATGGCGATTCCTTTCAAGAAATGAAATGTTCTGTAGTGCCCAATCTTAAATGTAATCGTCTTCATCGAGATTAAAAAGCTCCTTAATAAGAACAAAATAACCCTTTATTCTTCGGCAAAAGAAAATGCACTTTTTGTTTTATCTAAATTATAAAAATATATTTTTTATTTTAAAACCCCGTATAAACCTCCCTTAATATTAGGATATGTGTTATACATTTAAAATTAATTAATTGTTAAGCTTGATTTTAAACTTTTATTTTGATCAAATGACATCCTCTTAACATTTTTATTTTGATCCGCACCTTATTAACATAACAACTATTTAAACATTTATGTTTAAAAAAATAATTTTTATATAACTAAAAAATAATTTTAATAAATGTAATTTCAAATTTTCTAATATGCTATTAAATTTGTTAATTTTGATTATGGATAAAATTCGATAATTTTAATATTACATCACATTTATTGAATTTTTTGTTTAGATTTTTTAAATGAATAAAAAATATTTCAAGCACATATATTTCACAATACAATATAAATAACATAAGTTTGGGAGAGTAAATAATTCGTTTAAATTTATAGAATAAAAGTTTTTGTTTCAAACATTTATAAACATATTAAGTTAATTATATATTTATTTAAAAAGTTAATCAAATTTTTAATCAATATTTTTTTAACCAAAAACAAAATCAAATATATTAAAATGAAATAACTTCAAAGGTTACATATAGTAAGCAAACCAACCAAAAAAAAAGAATTAAAATTTACAAAACAATCTTTAGAAATAACTTTAACACTAACAAAAGAGAAAGCATGAATAAGTGTGTTTTAATCAAGTTTTTCATGTCTAAATTAACTAAATTACTTAAGGTTCTATTTCAATATGACAAAAATATTTTTAAAAAAAGATATTTGAAAGAAAATCAAATTAAGAAAAAGAAAAAAACTTTTAAATTCTTCAAAACTATTTTGGTTAAAATTAAATATTTTGCATGATAAAGGTTAAATTAGTAATTAAAAAAAGTTCTAACATAGCTAGAATGCATGCAACTCTTTTTGCACATCACTTTCCCAAACTTTAAAAGTTTCAATTAAGGATCATGATCTTTCATATTCCAACCATCAACTCCCGCGTGCTGAAATTACCATTAAAATCAGCATCTTTTTTTTTTCTTATAAAATCATTTGTGATACCATTTTACTTTTAAAGTAATTAAAATGATGTAACCTCATCCATGCCGCCTGAAAAATAAAATTGAAAACGTCTGTTAAGCTTTTTCCATTTGCCCCTTTCCCTTCCTTCTTGTCCCCGTCCTTCACTCATCAACAGCGGTGGCTTCTGACGAGGAGCAAGAAAGGCAGGGTCGGCAGTGAGAGAGCGAACACGATTTTTACAGAGGAGTGGAGAGAATTTTCAGCGATGGGTTTTTGTGCCAAGAGAAGTTGGTGGGAACTGTGGATGTGATAGGGCATTTCACGATGGAAGGTGGGAGCGAGAATGATAACGCAAATTCGAGCTCCACAGTATCCTCATCGTCATTGCCATCAGAAGGTGAAGAAGATTATTAACTTTTAAGAACCTATTGTGGAGATTGTCAACGGAACGATATGAGATAATCAAAGATATTGGGTCTGGGAATTTCGGTGTTGCCAAGCTGGCTAGAGAGAAACGAGTCGGCAAGTTCTTTGCCGTCAAGTTCATTGAGAGAGATTCCAAGTTTGTTCCTTTGCTCTATTTATTTATCTTTGCATTAATTACTGGATTATTCTTCTTACCTTCTTCCCCATCCCTTTAATTCTGCAGATTATGAGCATGTACAGAAAGAGATTAGAAATCACAAATCCTTGAAACATTCTAACATCATTCAATTTTAGTAGGTAAGACCATTTTTTATCTCAACTATTAAACTCAGAAACGCAGGGCTTTTTTTTTTTTTTTTGGTAAATAGAAACACATGTTCTTTGATGCCCTTTTGTTTCAACAGGGAAGAAGAGATTCATTGTGAAGTTGATTGAATTATTATAAGATTATTCATTGCTTAGATTTTGCTGACCCCAGCTCATCTGGCTATGGTCATGGCATATGCTAGTGTTGGAGAACTTTTTGAAATATGTAATGCAGGAAGATTCAGTGAGGACGAGGCACTTTAATTTTGGTTTATAATAATTTGATAATTGATGACCTTGAATCACTTTTACTTGACAGTGTTTTCACTTCATGGAGGCCTGGCCAGCGTGGTTGATGAGTGAAAGCGACAAGACAGGGAAGGAAAAGGAGCACAAGGGGAAAGCTTAACGGAAACGGCAGGGATGAGATTACTCCATTTTAATTACTTTAAGAATAAAATTACACCACAAATGGCTTTAAGACATTGAATATACCTAACAAAATAATTGAGGTTGCTAGATGCACATTAACTTTAAAATGAAACGCTTGAAAAACATAGAGTACTTTAAAGATATTAGAAATATTTGTTTGATTAGGTATTTATTAAATAGAAAAAGGGATAAAATAATTAAAATTACGTGTCAAACACCAAATATATTTGTAAATGATATGATATATAATAAAAATATATGACATGTCAAAATAATTAAGCCAGTAATTTGAACATCACAAGCATTGATTGTCAAAATATGAAACATTAGTGTTCTTAATTTGAATTTTTAAAGTTTAGGGAAGTGATGTACGATCAACTCAAAATTTAGAGAAATTTTGTGCATATTAACTAAATTTTAATTAATAAAAGAAATTCTTTAAAACATTTTTAACAAAATTAGCAATTTGAATTTAAGGGTATGTTTTCAAAAATGAAAGCAAAGACAGTGTAACTAAAGCAAAATGTAAGAAAGGATGTAGAGTTCTACTCTTTATTTAACCAAATTATTAATTAAAAGATTTAGCTTGTATGAATCACTATTGATTTATTACCGATGATAGTTGCTTCAATATAAAAGGTGTTTGGAAACATATAAAAGTACTTTTAAAGAGCACTCTTTCACAAAACGAGATAAATTCTTTCACATATTTGTTTTATATATTATAAAAACAGTTTTAAAATCATAGTTTGGTTTTCACCTAAACACTTTTATAGAAAAATGAATATACCGTACGTCTCATTGATGAATGAATAAAAAGGTGAAGCCTTAAATTTGACTCACAAAACATATACACACAAGTAATATGTGTGCGTCTATATGTATACATATGCATGTGTGTCCTAATCAAAGAAAAGCATGCTTCAAGAATGTTTTTTTTTTTTTAACTACATGCTTCGAGTATTAAAGAGACTTGAGGATTATTTTCAAAATTGAACTGTGCTGACCAAAATTCTTAAATGGCCACTTCTAGGAAGCTAATAGAATATAAGATCAGTTACGTTCCCATTTTACAGCAGCAGTCTGATTTTCTTTTAAAGGCAATTGTTGGAAATTACCGACAGTATAAACATAGGCCCCTTCCTCGACCTCTTCAAGAACATTGACTAGAGAAACCAAACATAAGGACCAAAAGCAGAGGAATAATGCATAACATAGAACTACACTTACCCATTTACTCTCAGCATGTACTGTGATATTTGGACCCTATCTAAAATGCTACGAATTGACTCAGTTAAATATATTCTCTATATCTGCAAATAATGAAGCACGAGAAGAATGTCGGAAGAGTTGGTCTGGCAACTGTTCTGCTACCAAGAGGTAGAAGAGCCCCATAACTCCAGTGTGTGGTCGGCTGATGCGGCTGTAGTTGGATTCTAGAGTTACAATTTCTCCGTCAATTATCTTGACCGAACCAGGTTGAGGATAACAAGTGCTCATTCCTATAATGTAGCCTTCTTCATTCCCTGCCTCCTTTCCAGTTCCATAGATTGGTATTGAAGAACATATAACCCTTCCATCCTGAAACCATCTCACTAATTTCAGAAAAGAAGTTGTACTGCTATCATTTCACATTGGTGTGAATTTAAGGAAAATTGTTGATTTAAAGCTATGAAAGAGTTTAGATGTGAGCTCTGAGGAATTATTTAGATTTTAACCCCTGCAGAATCATAAATGGTGAAGGTAAGGTTTTCTATAAGGAAGTGATGCCCATACTAATTGGTTAAAAAAAAAAAAAGAATTACCCACTTCTTGCAAATAGTGAATTTCTCGTAAAAGTTCGAACACAATACAGCAAGATGAAAATTTACAACCTTGCTCAATTTGCTGTGTCACAATCATTACTTACGATTCTTGTGGGGCTCCCCTGTCCAGAGCAAGCCACTCTTATTAGCACCAAAGTTGGGTCGAATATTCCCATACCAGGAAAATTGTCTTCCATCTAATTTCCCCCATTCCATAAGCTACTAATTAGTCTCCAATTCATAATTTTATTTTACCGGATAAATACACTGGATTTGGTGTTCCCTGAAGTGAAAGGAGAAAATGACACCTAGAGAGGAGAAAATAAGAAGTTGTATGCTTTTTATAGCGTTATTTTTTTTTTTTTAAACAAACAATATTTAATCTGATACAATGATACAAAAATTGTTAAGTGTCTACAAATGACTGTGTGTTTGAAACATTTTCTCACAGATGCAAAAAACCTATGGTATCTTAGGCAGAGCGCGATTCGAGCAAGTATGATGAATAATTAAGTATCATTATTCCGCTAATGATCAGAACAGATCAATGTCTTCTATTCAATGAATAAAACCAGTGGTGAGAATAACAACCTGTAGCTGTTAAAAACTGAAAAGTAGAAATAGAATATCACCTGTCCATACAGATTTGAACCAGTTCCACCTGAATGTTGATGAGCCACACCATAGATGACATAGCCACCTCTTGGCATTGGGAGGCTTGTCCTCTTGACATCAATGCATCCACTGCCATCCTTCTGGTTATTGCAGCAAGAGTCTACTTGATACTCAATCTGTAACCAAGAAATACGTGTTGCTCGCATGCGCCCAATAATGCAAGAGTGTATAATTATGTTTTCAACTAGGATTCAGACCAATGAACTTGTCAACTGAATAATTACTTACCTTGCAGTTATGCTTTGTACTCAAGGCCTTTGAATTTGAACCATTTGGTACTTGCAAACTATCAGTCACGTCAAGTATATAAATCTTAACAGGAACTATCAAATCGCTCCAGTCAACCCATTTAACTGTATATCTCAAGTAGAGGCCTCTCCTTCGTCCCTTAATGCCTTTCTTCACCCTGCATTGAGTTTTATCATAGCAGCACAGAAGACCACCTAAATAATCCGGCTTCAAAGGGCGGCCATATTCGTCAACTGTGATGTTATAAAGATCACACTTGCACTCAGTGCACCCCAGCCTATCTTCTACGCCTCTAGTATCAATGGCATGCACATTAAGCATCCATTTCTCCTCATACCCCTCTGGAATGTCTGCAGGATTACCTATTTCTATACCAAAAGGCTCTGGAATATCTGTAGCTGTTCCTCGTGTTTCAGATCCAAGACCAAAATACTGTCCAAGGGTATTACTCTGGCAGATGCCACTGTTCCTCACCAGAAAGTGATTTCGGCCTGACTCACTAAGGCCGTCATTAATTCTGAGTGTCACCCCTTTACGTTGATGGTATCTACCAACAACCCAATGATGGAGATAAGTTTCATGAAGAGGTACAGAATTGCCTTCTTCATCAATTACTTCACCATTGAAACTCTTGATTGCAATATGGCCTCTTGGAAAGTCTATATCATAGTAAAATTTATTTTCAACTGATCCTGGTCCTAGTTCAAACTTAGGGGAAAGGAAAACAGCTTCCTTGATTTTACTTTCACTCTTCCATAACGCATAAGAAAGCGGTGTGCCCAATATTAGCAACAGTATTGCTGATAAAAGTTTCCAAGGTTGTAAAAGAAGTCGCATGCTGATTCTGTCAACACCATCACATAGAAATCATTAAACAACAGATATAAAGCAGATGCAGATGTGAAATGTGCATACTCTCCATCATCCACAGCAAAAATTACAAAATTTGATAATTTTCTCTCGGTTTCGTTTCTTTTGTTAGGAAAAGTAAATTTTCAATGAAGAATAACCGTAGGTAATTCGTGTACTTATAAACCTTTGAACCATGATGAATAAAATTGCGAGCCTGACGATTAGAAACAAGCCATACAAAGTATGCCAATGAAAGGGAAGTGGGTACAACAAAAAGGAAAGCAAATCGTTCAGCCAAAGAAACTACATAGTAATTACAAAGCATGATGATCAAGGTCCAGAGCAACACAAGATAAACAGCAAGAAAGGAAACAACACTCAAAATGAGTCCACTCTAGAAAAAACACCCCACAGTTAATCAGGAATAGCTTCCTCAGCCGGAGATGTGCAGCTCGGCCTAATTACGTGTAGTACCAAACGCACCAGAAAGGAGAAAATACATAATCCTAATAATAGATGAGACATCGAGATAAATTACCATCGTCACGGAAAATTTCAACCGCAAAGAAAGCATTTATCCAGCATATGAAACTAAAGAGAAGGAAGAAGGACACTGCCCCCAAATCATTTACCTATGGGTGATACCAAAATCCCATAATTTGCCGTCTTTTTGCATCAGTGAAACAAAAAACAAATCGATGTATCACTTCATTCACACCAAAAAAAAAAACGATGGATTACTTCAAAAGAATCTCATGAACAGTAAGCACAAAGAAATTGATCGAAGAAATTATAAATAGCTTACCGCAGGGGAAGAAGGAAGAGAAGTATGAACCGGCTGAGTGAGAATGTTATACTGAAACCCCAATTGGAAAACGAACTGGTTATATACAGCAAGTAAGCAAGAAATTCAAAAGTGTAGGCGATACGATAGTGCCGTAAGCCATGACGCAGATGAAGAAGAGAGACAATCACTAGAATAGTAACAGAAGTTCCGATGGCGATGAACAATTCTCATGATTTTAGGCAACATTTCTCATGACAAATTAAATATTTTAAATGAGTCTTTATTTCATTTGGTTTTTTAAAATAAATAATTAGTTAAAGTATACTTTTGGTTCTTCACCTTTACATAAGGTTTTATTTTGGTCTCTTAATTTTAAAAAGTAAATTTTTAGTCTTTCAACTCTGAAACTGTTAATAAAAAATGATAATATTGAACTCTTGAATATCAATAAAATATTACCAAATGCTATAATATTAAATTTAATTTTCAAAACAATTATAATTGTTACAAAAAATCATTATTTAAGACAACAATTTTAAAGTTAAAGGACTAAAAGTATACTTTTTAAAGTTAAGGATCAAACTGAAACTTTACATAAAGTTAAAAGATCAAATTATACTTAAGCCTAGATAATTTTGATTTCATACTTGATTATTAATGAGAATTTTTTTTTGGTTAGAAAGATTATTAATGAGAATTGATCATTCTATCAAAAATAAACAAGTAATTTTAAATAAAATTTAATTACTTTTAAAAAAATCATATTTTTTAAATGATAAAAGGGAAAATCGGTCCCTTTTCGACAAATTAATTAGGAAATAGAATCTATAATAAATGTAAAGATGTAAACCCCTCAGATGTTAGTAAGTATAGTAAGAGAAAGAATATATTACTCCGTCCTTTATTAAAAGATCCTTTTAATTAAATTGCATGATTTAAGAAAATAGTTAAAATTAGTTAAAAGCAATTAATATGTAGTAAATGTAATTTCTTTCCAAATATACCCCTATATATAAATGGGTAGATGTGAGAAAGTAATAGTAAGATAAATGAAAAAAGAGAATGTATTAAATGTATTAAACTAGAGATAAAATATGTAATAATGCATTAAATGTTCAAACAAACTCAAGAGAACTTATAAAAAGAGACAAACCTATTCAAAAAATTGGATCTTATAATAAGGGACAGAGAGAGTATTACCTTGATAAATGCTAATAGCATATAACGAATCCTCACTTGCATATCATAGATCCTAATTGTATATGGTGGATACTTAATTGCATATGAAATTTCATTACATACTACAAATCTTAATTGCATATCATTGATCCAAACTTACATATTACTGATTCTAATTGCACATTGCAGATACCTAGTTGCCTATATCTTATTGTATATTACCTCCGATCCTAATTATAAGACCTCGTTTGTAATTTACAACTCACAAACAAATTCTAATTAGGACTGGAGGTAGTATTATAGATCCTAAGTACATATAATTGATCCAAAGTTGCATATTAGTTATTCATATTGTATATCATTGATTCAAATTTACATAAACAAATTCCTTTGTATAGTACTCACAAACAAATTCTTATTTAGATTAACATGATGGAAATGAGATTTGTCATATGTAATTAGCATTCATAGATAAAAAGTTGTTTGTGAGTACTACACAAAGGAATTTGTTTATATAAATAGTAACATATAGGCAATTAAAATCAATAATATGCAAATTTTGATCAATGATATGCAATTAGAATCCATGATATGCAATAAAGTTTCATATGTAACTAGGTACCCACGATATGCAATTTGAATAATGCATATACAACTTTAAATCAACAATATACAATTAGAATTCGTAATATGCATTAAGATCTCATATTTAATTGGAATCACCACTATGCAACTTTGGATTAATTATATGCAATTAAGATCCATATTATGTAATAAAATACAATATGCAATTAGGTATCCACAATATACAATTAGAGTAAGTACTATGCAAGTTTGGATCAACAATATGCAATTAAGATTCGTGATATGTAATAAGATCTCATATACAACTAGATATCCACCATATACAATTAAAATCCATGATATGCAAGTAATAATCTGTCATATGCAATGAGCATCCATTAAGATAATATGATTTTTTTCCCTGCTAGATTTGAGGGGCCCATATCTTTGTATTTATTACAGGTCCTATTTCCCCATTAATCAAAGATGAACTTTTAACCAATTTTCCCATGATAAAATCATAATGTTTATTTTGGTCAAAAAAATTCAAATGTTTTTTTCCTACTATTAACTTAAACTGATGTTATTTAATTGGTTGACTGAAAGATTTTATTGCAATTAATTTTAGAATAAAAAAATTAATATAATATATTTTATTGGTGTGCTCCTTATGTATTTTTTTTTATTAGTCCAGCGGATATATAAAAAATGAGAAAACATGTGGAAGGAATAATAATTATTTATTACTAAAATGAGCAGTTTTATATTTCTATCGCTCCTACCCTCGTGCTGGAATGGCACAAGACCCCGTTGGTACAAGGAAAATTAGGCAATGAAAATGAAAAATCATGATTTTTCATTGGCAACGACTGTTCAGTTCCGAAATGAGCATGTGACTGTTTGCGCAAGTTCCGCCCATTTTTTTTTTCCCCCCCTCTTTTGGTGAGAAGTTCTGCCCAACTTTGTTGAAGATATAATGTCTTCGTATTCTCAAGGGAAGGACGCGTGAAACCTGCTGCCTTCAGTTGCTCCCTCACGAGCAGTAAATATTGGTAGCTGACTAGATATACTTGTACGGATGTGCAAATATAGAAACTATACTTTTTTCACTTTATGTTTACTTTCGCGCTTTTTTCCTCTCCAATAATTTGTTGTGAGCAGAAATCCCTCCAAATCTGATATAGAGTCAAAGGTCACAAGAATTGATTGGAATTTTAATTTTAATAGTTAGGGAGGTAATTAAGCAAACAAAACATCCAATAATCGTTGTTTGTCATGATTTTTACTTCGTATGGTTGGAGAAACATGATAAAATCATTTTTATTGAAATAAGGATTGCTTTCAGTGTGCGGGTGGTTAGCATGCGTGGACATTTTTTGTTTGAAAACTTACTCTGTTTGGTGCGTAAAAAACAGAGTATAACAAAATATAGGTAAATTAGAATTTTGTGCAAAAGTTGAAATAATTTTGCACGAAATTGGAATTTGATGAAGCAAGTTAAATGTGAAATTGATGGACATTTTGCTACAGAATTTGCAGCAATTTATACATGAAATTTGAATTTGATTGAGAAAATTCAATTCTGATGCAAGGAAAAAAATTCAAATTTGCTGCATCAAATTCGAATTACCGCATCATATTAAAGCTTAAATTCCACCGAATATAATTTTAAAAATAAAAATTTTTAAATAGGTCTTATTGCATTAAAAACTAAGCTTAGTGAGCTTTTCAATCATATGTCATTTATCTAATTTGTATTTAAACTATAAAAGATAAGTCCGCTAGAAATTGATTTTTAAATTGATTTTGTTTATGGGTTTATTTATACTCTATTCAACACTTAAAAAAGAGGGGCAAATAAAGTGCACTGGAAATAGAGCTGTGATTTTTTTTTTGTGTCTTTTTAATATTGGAAACATTTTTCATCAATAAAATAATTAGGATAATAAATCCTCATCTTTCAGTGCCTCTTACAGTTTAAAGACAAAATGTTACCAATTTAAAATATATTATATAAATTTTTTCTACAATAGAAATGCTCAATTACTATAAATATAAACAAGGAATTAAAAAAATTACAAAACAAAATCATCAGGATGCGTAATATTTGTATAGGATTTGTAGTTTTATCATATTCGAATTGAGTATTTTATTTTCTCTAATATATTTTACTTATATTTTGTTATTAAAATGTTTATTTAATGATCTTTTAATCATTTAATATCTATAATAAATTTTATATTTATATTAAATATTCATATTTACTTATTTAAATTATAATTTATTAAATTTTTAATAGTATTATTATTATGTAAGGTTAAAAGTTTTATTTATTTATATTATTTTGTCTTTTAAAAATATTTTTTATTTGATAATATTATATTCTTTTATTAAGGGTAACATGGTAAAATAGTTTAATTTTTCAACCTATTTTTATCTCACCAAGCATAATATTTGTAAAAATTAATTATTTTTTTAAAATTTAAACAATTATTAGTGATAATTTCTCATTTCACTTGATTGATGTGTGATGTAATTGGAGCGTTTTCAGCATTCATGCTAACGCTTCACGCGCATGGGGAACAATTGGTCAATTTTTTCGGCCCCTTTTTTGTCAAGGTCCAAATCATTTTGGCACAAGTAACTTCCTTTTCTTCTTGGCCCTTTAATGAATGAACCGCTTTCATTCATTGATCATTTGTCTATGTTAGCCTTATTTTTTGATTAAAAAAAATATTGTGTGTAATAAAATTTTTCCCTCTATTATGTGTGCTTTTGGGTGTAAATCAGCTCGCCGACTTATATTAACGTTCTAAGAAATTATTTATAAATTCAAGATGTTTGATTTGTAAATCTTAAAGATTTGCCTGATTGAAATCTCAAAATTTAAATTAAAACCTATGCTTTTAACAAATTTCTAATTAAACAAAAAGCCTTATCAAAGATTTTTCTAACATTCTTAAAAGACTAGAATACCCTTTTATAGTTTAAAATAATATTATTTTAAAAGAAAAAAATTAAACTATGAAAACTTGACACCATATAGTATTTATTTATAAAAAAATGTTTTACATAAGAAAATTTGGAAATATTAAGAAAAAAATTGACAATGCATAATATAATATTTTATATTAACTCTCATATATTAATACGAAATTTATGGAAACATGGACT